TTTTTGCCCCCCCCCCCCCCCCCCCCCCCCGTATTTAATGGATTTCTGAAACCCATAATTCGTGGATATTCTATTTGAATTTCATTCGTTTTGGTGTTGGTAGGCCCTAGTTTCAAACTATCGTTCGCGACCCAAGTTGGAGTCACCAAAATATTTTTTGCTGGGTCGGCGGACGTTTAAGGTTGTCGGAGACTGGTAATAGAACTTCCTTCCTTTCTTTGTGCAAGTGTAACTCTGTGCGAAGTAGCGTTTCCTGAATTGGGCATTTTTTCAAAGTACAGTAAAACTAGATTTTTTTTTCTATCATATTGACCTTGATTCTTATGTTTGCTTCTCATCGTTTACGCCTAACTGTTACCTGCTCGGGCGTCCATACAACAACTCTCTGGAAGGACTAATCCAGGAGTATTTTCAAACATGCAGTTACTGGCATAATCGTAACAAAAACACAGTAATTGTTTTTATCAGTCATACAAAGTTTGTTCAACTATAATAGTTTGGCACACAATAGGTATTTTCTGTGTAATCTCACCCATCCTATGTCCACCAGATACCAGAGATTTAAAGTCCAAAACTTTTCGCCGGTAAAATCTCGAGTCTACTCATGATTAAAACAAAGATAATGTTTTTATTTTTAATCTGCTATGTCATATTTAGCTGAACTAAGACTACCAATCTTTTGGCGTTTGTCGGTTGGTTGTAACGGTCAGCCCTACATCACATTGGCCCAGTGTTGTGTTTTGCCTTCACTTTATTGACAAAAAGGTCATCGAATGGTTATTACTTTTAGTTTCTTTAAATATTTTTTTTATAATTATATTTTTTCTCGCGGGCCAGAATGATTTGCCCCGCGGGCCCAATATCAATAATTAATTGATACTAGTATTTTTAAAAATTTTCTAGTAAGGAACTTAGCAGCTTATTTCTTTTGTAGTGAAGTCACCACTTCATCAATACAAAGTCAAACAAAAAGAAGTACAGCATGAAGTTATAAATATTAATCGTATAAGCAGCTTGACTATAGTAATGGCTTTGGGAAAGCTTTTGTTTTTACATAGTTTTGAAGAAATAATAAATAAGTTTTTAATTAAAATGATTTAAGTATTAACAATTCCGAATGTCCTTGATCTATCAACTGTTTACATTGAGGTCATTATTTGATCAGTTTGAACGGTCATTTGTGGCGTGGTTTGATTCATAAATTGAAATAAACACTTTTGGATGATGTACCACAAGCTAATTTTATTTAGTATTCAGCATTTGCAGAAAGGGCCCACACCGATAATCATTTTGAAGTCTGGCATTGAGTAATAATCCAGACCCTGACGGCTCGTATCCACGCCCAAAACATTGTTCTTCCTTGCAGAACTTGTAACTTCCTACGTGGTGTTACAACAGTTACAAATTTCAAGAATAAAGCTCATTGGAGAAACCAAGGAGGTAAAAACAAAGGAAAGATGGGTACAAGGTTACTTTAGCTACCAAGGTACTTTTATACCGTATGAAACCCGCCTTAAAAAGCTGAATACTGTATACCAACTCTTGCCTTTAGACGTCTGGTGGCGACATGTTACAGGTTTAAAGATTATGCACGGCCTCAATGATATAAGTAGACATTTGCTGCCAAGTTTGGCAGTGAATGCTCAAACTATTATTAGCTTCAAGACAGATGTCTTCTTAAACAAGAAGTATGAGAAATTCATTTATAGTGCTCCTGACAGATTCCAGTAAGACACATTTCCCCCTTGCATTGCCATCATTAAATTAAATGAAATAATAAAAACAATGTATAAAAATAATGAATTTAAGCATACGCAGTGGTATTTGATGAGCTATGGTGGGAAGATGACTTAACAGCCTTATTTACAGCCTGACAAGACAGGTGAACTTATACAGGTGACAAAATGTTCCTTACCTCTTGCCAGGCATGAATGATTTTCTCTCTTCGATAAATCTTTTCATTTTGTTCTTGCCATCAAAGCTGATTAAGAATCGATTGTTGATACCCGAAATGTGATCATATTCGCTAGCTCTTCCTTCCCACTGTACTGGCGAGACACAAGGGGCAACTTTCTTGGAAACAGCTACCGCGATACAAACCGCAACAAACAGTGATGTCTGTTAAAGAAAGAATGATATACGCCTAAAGAGAAAACAATTTAAGTCATATTTTTATTTTATTATATTTTCCCCAATCATCCATGTTGTGTACGTCTGCAAAACGGCGAAATCAGTTACATGGCTGTAATATTATCCTTTGTATTGAATTTTGTGGTGAATTTAATTTATTAATTTTAAAGCACCATACCGTTCCTCACACTTACGCGCTACTGTAAAATTATGGTGTGATAAAATGTTTCAAACAAATGGGCCTAAATTACACGATGAAAAACACCTACAATTGCAAATTAAAATTTCCGTAAACAATTAAGATTTTATGTCCTACCTGAATTATACTCATCGTGAACAGAGCCACCATTCACGTCAGAATAAGACTGAAACGTTGCAACTTTGTGGACTCTTATATAATGCGGACCTTGTGTTGTGATTTGCATAGAGGTTCCTGGGCCTGCCTTCCACTTGTTTACTGGCTCAGCCAAAGTAATCAGATTCTTATCACCAGTTAGGTCCCAACCTTACATTGCGGAGGCCTGATTGCTGACAATTTCATACTTATCGGAAGCACAGTCGATATGTGGTCGCCAGATAATGATACGTGGCTTATTGTTCATAAAGTTATTTACGATAATCTGGTGGGACTGAAATTCATCCAATTGCTTCCCGTATGTTACTTCTCATAATCGTCCGATCATTAATCATTTACAGACATCGTGTGGTTGTAGATAGGATCAACTCAATTGCCTGTCACTGTTTCCCCAAAAGATCGTACCACAAATTTGAACCACGTGGCCTCTGCAACTTTCACTCATGCATAGATGCACAGACCAATGGACCACCAATACAAAGTCAACGAATGAAAGTGTTTCTTAAATCATACAGGAATAAATAATATTTATACTTGTATTTATACATCCATGAAATCCACCATCGGAAATTTAAATAACTTTAACATATTTATTTAGCCTTAAAACAGAAATAAGCACAAGAAGATATAAATACGCTCTAAATATGATATTGACCACATTCTGCAATCACAATAATCAAATATAATTATCTGTATCGGTTATTATTGATTATACTCGGATTGATAATTTGCAATATTGGCATAACATTATAGTAATTTACCGATGACGTCATATAAATGAAGAATAGTATTATAGTAAGTAGACAACTAGACGCTATCTTGTTACCTTTTGACCGGTTTAATGTACAATATGAACTTGAGATAGACTTTGATACAAAGTTCGTCAATAGGACTATCCATCAGAAATCAATTCTAATCGGTTTTTGACCCTATGTAGTGCTCTATCATCACTAGGTTCCTTAGTATTTTAGCCTCGGATTATGGTCATACCTTCTGTCTCATTATGATTGGTCATGAATGTAGGCATAAGTTAATTGTTATCGTTCAGTATGACTGATCCATCTTGAGCTGACATGTCATGAATAGACATAAGTTATTCAACTCTTTGCTTCACAGGCAATACTTGAGAGTTAGACGCCGGCGGTTATGACATTAACAAGTAAATCGGCCCCTAAAAACAACACAGTTTCTTTGATTCTGCAGTAGGACTATATCTTTGCCAACAGTTTAAATAAGTGGTACAATATAAAGTCCAGGGTAAGAACCGAAACCGAAACCAGAGTTTACCGAAGAATAACTAAATATTATATAACTTTATTTGAACAACGCTTTTAAGCAAATAATACAATACGAAAAGACACACCTAACATGAAAGACATTCCCTAAACGTTGTATATTTATTTACACATTTTACCAAAAAAAAAAAAAATGTATTTCAAACGGATGGGAAAAGAGAATAAAGAAATCGGAAAGTCACAATACACAAAGTCAAGGTATGCGTTCAACAAAAAATGAAAACATCAGTTTGGAAAATGGGTAAAATAATAGATTACCGTATCCTGTCCAATAGGTAGACATGTGTAATAGGTCTGTACATTTTTTTGTCCCAGTCCCATTTTCAAGTGAATTTCGATTAAGATCTGTATGATATCCCATAATACCTGCTCAGTGATTCTGAAATCTCGTTGACAAACCAACCGAACTTTAATAGGCTATAGCGTAAATGTTTAAACTCGGTATTCAATATCATTTTGGTCCTCCTGAGGGCGTGCTTGGTTTCCTATATAGCGCTTGGCAACCCTGGGGATTTATTTGACATCGCCAGTTACATCGTAACACACCAGTGGCAATGTAGCTAGTATAAGACAAAAGAAAACGAATACAATTATATAAATCAATAAATCAAAATAACATTCTCATATCAAAATCATAACCATGCATCCAGAAACGAAAATAGTGATTTCATTAAAAGTTTAATTAAAATAATAAAAATTACATAAGCATAAAAATAGTATATTGCTATTATTATTATTTTAATATTATTATCATCATCATCATTAGTAATTCCAGTCGTTATAATAAAATGTTAAACAAATCGTCACCATTGTGACCCTCATCATATCATACATACTCTGTTATCTATTAATTTACTCACCCTGGAAGGAAGCTATTGCATGATTTATCACCAAAGTCGAGCGTGTCACACTCTTCAACGCCTTCCTGTCTATACCCGTCACCACAATACGATGGTTGGCAGTCTACAAAACGGAAGGTAGAACAAGATATACTTCATTCACTCTCTTATTATTTTTCATAGAGATTTAATAATTTATCCTAGATATACCAGCATCACTTGAGCATTAAAGTGACTAACGATCCGGCTGGTTTTGTGCCAACTACTAGGTAACAGTAAAATAAAATGATGCAATGGCATTGGTTGTGCTTCATTGTTAGGTCTAATATTCTTAGGCTGTTACTAGGCCTAATTAAGATTAAGGATGAGCTCATGGTGGATAGAGACGTCGGTGTTATGCACTATGCATAGCATATCTATTAAACTAATGGTAATGGTAATACTTTTGCATATATAGCGCCTTCATGATCAAAATCGTCTAAAGGCTCTCTAAAAATATATATGAATAAAGTAAAGTATATTAATTTTTAAAAGATCGACCCCCGATGTAGTAGGCCTAGATAAAGCCTACATCTATGTCATTTTTTATACTTACTATACCCTAGGTCTTCCTAAATTTTACTTTGTTGTTGCTAATATATTACATTTTTGTCAACAAAAATTACATTAAAGTGAGTCTAGAATTTGAAACTAATCTCTATAAAGTGTCAGGTATGTGTATAAAGTAGAAACCCTTCTAACAAATGTTTTTTTTTTCGATGTAATACTATTAATTCTTACTGATACATCCATCATTATCATCTTCATTTGCATCATCGCACAGCTCCCCTTTTTCAATGATACCATTTCCGCAAACACCGGGCTTCATAAAACAAGAGAATAACTAAAAGCATTAAACCAATCAGAAAGCTTTATTTCAATTACAATATTACGTCATACCATTGCATATAACTATGGTACATCAAAAACATGAACACAAAATTATACGGATAACACATGTAGAATTTGTAAAAATCGTTATAAACTTACATGCCCGTTTTTTACCACGCCATTATAGTCGCCCTTTGCCCCTTTTGGACCCATAGGTCCTGGCTTTCCTCGCTCTCCTGGTTTCCCCGGGGGTCCTGGTGGCCCATGCATTGTTTGCATGTCATTCTCAAGCATTAAACATCGCCATTGACTGTCATCTCGGAGGTAGAGCTTTTTGTCGTCAAGGCGATATGCCAACATCGCTTCCGAATCGATTTCGTTCAAAGCTGATTCGTCCGCGACAATAACAAGTTGCTATAGAGAAGCAGAAATAAATATAACATTCAGCAACGGTGTCAAACGAATCGTCGCTCACATCACGAACTAACACAATCAAAGTAGATTGTGTTAGTTCGTGAAATCAC